TCATTTAAAGACCTTTATATAACACTGTTGAGACACTTATATTCAAATATAACAACATCCTTTTCAACAACAGAAACAATATTTGTTTTTACCCACTTTCTTTTTTCTTTTTCCAAACAGGAAGTGTAAAACAGTAACAGAGTTACAGGTACAGCCATGGTAGGAGGGGGGAGTCAAACAGAATTGAAAATGATAGGCATATACAGTACAGTCCAAGTAATTCTAATAATATCTAACTAGTCCATAGCCATTGGTAGCTTTGTCACCTTCTACCTATGCCAGTCCTCAATGCCTATGTGCAGTTTCACATAGATTGACCACGTCAGTGAGTAGAAAAACGTGGGACAGACAGAATGACTGACTGACAGAATGACACACTGACAGTTTCTGTGATTATGTACAGCATACCATACAATGACTTAGTCATACCAAACATTAGAAAACAACACCAACATTGGTCCACAGGGGGAGCCACAGCGATCGGTCGCATTTTAGCCATTTTGAAGCATTTTTCTGTTGTTATAGCGCCACCCAGTTGCCAATTAGAGTTAAATTTCTCCAGTCACCTTGAGGCGTCCTGTTCTACATAACTACCAAGTTTAGTAAAAATCCATATGGCGGTTAGGCCTAGATAAGAAATGAGCTCTCTAGCGCCCCCATTTTGTTTGATGGGGTCAATAATGGAGGGGTCCCCTCAGATTATGTGTGGTCATATGCCTACAAAGTTGCGTGGTGATGGGTGAAACCCTTGAGATGTTATACACCTTTATGTGATGAGCCACGCCCTCCGCAATATTCATTGCCTTATAGAAGCTCAGTTTTAGTACGTTTTCCAACTTTTGCCAAGAGGGAACTTTAGATATTGGTCCCTAGATTATGTTCACCCAGTTTCATGCAGATCGCTCAAACTTCCTAGGAAGAGATCCATTTGAAGTGTTTTTCAAAAAATTCAAAATGGCAGAAAATCTATATAAGCGGAAGTTATGGGTTCTTGAGGCAAATGTGTTCCTCGTGAGGAGAGGCATCTCTGTGCAAAGTTTCATGTCTCTACGACATAAGGGGCATGAGATATGGCCATTCAAAGTTTGACATTTCAATGGGTTGCTATAGCGCCCCCCTTTGGCCAATTGATGTAATATTGCTTCATTGGCATCCTCCCATGACCCTCTACCACTGTGCCAAATTTCACATGGATTGACCAAGTCAGTGAGCAGAAAAACGTGGAACAGACACACACACACAGAGTTTTCATCATTATATCGTAAGATCAGTTTGAAAATCAGTCAAATATGGAGTGTTTATTTGTGTGTGTGTGTGTGTGTGTGTGTGTGTGTGTGTGTGGGCACGCTCGTGCAAGGGGTAAAAAAATGGAAAAGTAAAATAAAATGATAAAATAGACGATGATGACAATGAAAATGTAAGACAATAGTGTCATGGTGGAGAGTGCAAAGGGTGCTGGAATAAATACAGTATTATTAGCGTACCAGGTTGCTTTATATCATTAATCTCTCAAGACAGATTTTTTACCGATGGATTTCCAGATTGCTTTATATCATACACTGTATATATTTTAGAGGCAGTTGGGTTTGGCAGGATACATAGCATGCTTACACCGTATTACTTCAATCAGAACAAGCCTACTCCTAATTAAACGCCCAGTCTCTTTCACTAGCCTGGTGTAGCTACATTTAACACAATTAGAGGCCTGGTCTGGTTGACAAGCAGGTTATTTCTTTTGAAGTTCTTTTGACGTATAAAACCAGATTGTTGACTAGCCACTTGAGTCATAAGTTCAGAATATGTGTCCATTCCTTGATTACCTGCTGAGTTATTTATAACTCATGTTATGTAGCTTCTCTGACTCAAAGAAACTACATGTCAGAGGTGGAGAGTGACTAAGGTTACATTAACTGAGCACAGTTTGCAGGTACTTGGTCACAGTAAGCTGTCACTGAATTTACAGTCACGTTGCAGAGCCTCATTGTGGCCACTGGAAGGCAGTGAACGCTTATGATTTTGTTTTTTAATTCACAAGACACACAAAACTCGATCCCAGTATAATATATGGACAGACCTAAACTCCTCAACTACGGGGTATTTGTGACAACAATGCCTTCTGCAAAAAAATAAAATAAAAATGAAATAATAATTTTGGTGTTTAGTGGTCCAGCATGGATTATTCAACTATTCAGGAATTATTTATAATGGTACAAACGTGGGCTATGAGGGACCATGCAAGCCACTCATTCTCCAGTTTACACTCTCATATAGCCAACGTGTGCTTTCATTTTCAAAAACCTTTATTTTCATATACATGATTCTTTGTCAGCGAACATAAACTGAGGGTTTCCACACAAGGACTCCACTGTGGTGACACTCGCTATGTAAATAATGTCCACAGCCTCTTGTGAACAAAATAATCCACCAATTCTCTCTTTGGGGGGGGGGGGGGGGGGGGGGACATTCCTCCAGCTCTCACCACATACCGACCTCTGACCTTCACCCCACCCCACTGTGTGTGTGAGATTGGAAAAATGTCTGCACAAAGACAGACAGATAGTGATCATCAACACAGGCTGTGGCGTAGATGATCGGGGTATAATGATGGGATTCATTCAGATGCAAGTCCTTCATATTATATTTGAGAAGCTGGAACCATGAAATGTTTTTTGCACAAAAATTACTTAAACAATATTGAAAATAGTTGCCAGATAACTTTCTTATCAATCAACGAACCGTTTCAGCTGCACTTTAAATTATTAAATGACTGTAATGAGATAAAAGGTACTTTTTTCTGAAGCATGGTGGATTAGAAGTAGAAAGCGGCATGAGATTAAAATCCATCCATCCATTTTCAACCACTTATCCAAAGCCAGGCCACTTGTCTTGGGCAGCAGGCTGAGCAAAGTCTTCCAGACGCCCCTCTACCCAGCAACGCTTTCCTGCTCCTCCTGGGAACCCCGAGGCGAGTGTCTTTAGACTTGGCATAAAGTCAAACATGTTCTCAGTGGGTGTTGGCCTCTGTCCCTTGTCTCAAATTCTGTTTGTGATATTCATGGACAGGATCTTGAGGTGCAGCCGGGGGGAGGAAGGGGTCCAGTTTGGGGACCTCAGAATTGCATCTCTCCTTTATGCAGATGATGTGGTTCTGTTGGCTTCATCACACCGTGACCTCCAGCATGACCTGGGGGGTTTTGCAGCCGAGTGTGAAGCGGTCTGGATGAGAGTCAGCACCTCCAAATCTGAGGTCATGGTTCTCTGCTGGAAACCGGTGGATTGCCCCCTCTGGGTTGGGAGAGATTTACTGCCTAAAGCAAGGGAGTATCTCGGGGTCTTGTTCACAAGTGAGGGTAGAGTGGAGCATGAGATGAATCGGCGGTTTGGTGCGGTGTCTGCAGTGATGCAGGCGCTGTGCCAAACTGTCATGGTGAAGAGGGAGCTGAGCCAGAAGGCAAAGCTTTTGATTTCCTGGTCCATCTACGTCCCAACCCTCACCTATGGTCATGAGCTCTGGGTAGTGACTGAAAGAACGAGATCAGGAATACAAGCGGCCAAAATGAGTTTCCTCCGTGGGGTGTCTGGGTTCAGCCTTAGAGATAGGGGGAAGAGCTCAGACATCCGGAGGGAGCTCGGAGTAGAGCCGCTGCTCCTTTGCGTCAAAAGGGGTCAGTTGAGGTGGTTTGGGCATCTGATCAGGATCCTCCTGGGTGCGTGCCTTTGTAGGTGTTCTGGGCACGTCCCGATGGTAGGAGGCCCCGGGGCAGACCCAGAACACACTGGAGGGATTACATATTCATCTGGCCTGGGAACGCCTCTGGGATTGAAATACTCAAGTAAATTATAAATACCTCAAATTTGTTCTTGAGTACAGTACTTGATGTACCTTCTGTAGAAAGATTGACTTGATGTCTGTAAGGGACATGTTATAAATATTAATGTATGTCTTTTTTTTTTTTTTTTTAGAAACAAATCTTTATTATATGTTTTTTACGGAGGCATATTGCATTCACTTGACAAATTAAAAAAAAATCCTTTTTTATTGAGTAATTTTTTCAGTTTTCGGTGTAATTTTTTTCTGTTTTTCGCAGTATTTTTTTTTTGTTTTTCGGGGTATTTTTTTTCTGTTTTTATGGGTTAAGAGAACAATGGAATAACAGACGCTTTCATTCCTTTCTTGAGAGCTCGATATAATGGAAACAGCCATGACCCGCTTGTGTAGTTTAATCCAGTTTTACTTTGTTTTGGGTTTGAGACACTGGGAGATACTCTTGTCTTTAAGTCATATAGATGGTGTTATCATTAGTTTGTCGACTTTACCCAGGCACCGGCACTTACAGGTGTCAGGTGGGAGCGTCTCCTCATTCAGGAAAAAAAATTACTAACCCCGAAAAACAGAAAAAAAAATATCCCGAAAAACAGAAAAAATTACCATGAAAAACAGAAAAAAAAATATCCCGAAAAACAGAAAAAATATCCCGAAAAACAGAAAAAAATACCCGGAAAAACAGAAAAAAATACCTGGAAAAACAGAAAAAAATTACCATGAAAAACAGAAAAAAATTACCACAAAAAACAGAAATTACCACGAAAAACAGAAAAAAATACCCTGAAAAACAGAAAAAAATTACCACGAAAAACAGAAAAAAAAATACCCCAAAAAACAGAAAAAAATTACCACGAAAAACAGAAAAAAAAACCCCGAAAAACAGAAAAAAAATATCCCGAAAAACAGAAAAAATACCCTGAAAAACAGAAAAAAATACCACGAAAAACAGAAAAAATTACCACGAAAAACAGAAAAAAATACCCCGAAAAACAGAAAAAAATACCACGAAAAACAGAAAAAAATTACCACGAAAAACAGAAAAAAAATACCCCGAGAAACAGAAAAAAATAAATAAATTACTCAGGAAAAACAGAAAAAAATACTCAGGAAAACAGGGCTTTTTTTTATTTGTCAAGTGAATGTATGTTTTTACACCTCAGTTACAAACATGGTAATTCATTTTGATAGACTGACGGTTCTGACGTCAGCCACAGGGGGGCGACATGACCGTGTGCGAGGCGGAAGCAGTTTCGTGTCAGCTGACACATTTTGTTTTGGTCCTCCTCCTCCCAGCTGAAGTCTAGCTAGCTCCCCATCATCCATCTGTGTCTCCACGGCCGCGTTTTCTTTCACAGCAGACAGACATGAAGAAGTTTTTCGAGGACATAAAGAAGGACATCAAGTTTAAATCTGCGGGACCCGGGAAGAAACTGACAGAGGACACCAGGTGACAAACATTTACCTGCTGCTACAGCGCTCGAGCTAGCCACACAGCTAGCTGGCTAACGGCTGCTAATAGCTAGCTGCTGGTCATTAATGGTTATTGAGCCACTGTTAGCATGTCATAAAGCTAACCAGAACTGATAAGTGATTTTCAGCGTATGTCAGGAGGTTTTTCGCGGGCTAACTGTCTCCTCCCGTCAGCCACTAGCTTATATAACATGATGTAAGGCGGCCAGCTAATTTCAGGGTAGCTAACAGTTAATCCCTGAACAATCTTATTTAGCTTCACTAGTACTTAAGACAACCGACCAACTACTGACCAGAAGAAGGCTGCCTGTTTCTCTGACGTGTGGATAGTGTTGTTGTTTGCATGGTTTGGGAGTTTATCGATGTTCCTCAGCTCAATATCATCTTGTCATGACACATCAGGGCCGTTTAAAGGCTTGCATGTCTTTAGCATTGCTATTTTTAACCAGGTCAGATGTTGAGTGTGTGTTTGTGAGTCAACATGTTGAGATCACCCACTTACAGCTAATAGCCTCCTGATGTTACACTCATTGGGTCCAAGCCCTCAGATTTGCCATGAAGACAGATCTCTTGACGTCAGACAATGATATCTCCACGTTGGTTGAATGATTTATTATCAATCAAACTGCATCTGAAACACCCATCTGCTTTTGTGCTTTTGCAGTTTGAACTGTGAAGATAGCCTCTACCAATCTCTAACAATGTTGCTTTACAACAAGAGACATATATAAATATTTATCATAATTTAAATCACTGGGAAGGCAGCTGTAAAGTGTGTTTAAGTGCTATACTAAGCGCTGGGGAGCAGAGGATCTTAGGGACAGAGATTTGAGGCCCAACGTGGAGCTACAACAACAACATGTCTCTTCTGTTCTCGTTACACTGTAGTACCAAGCCCGAGGTGGTGCAGGGCAGCTCCAGTGCCAGGCATAATCGCTATGCTCCCAGCGAAGGATCCCAGAGGGCTGGAGCTGCTGCCCTGGCCAGGATTGAGCAGCATCAGCGGCCGAAGGTCCACACCTCTCAGGACGCCATCAGGAACCAAGGTGAGACAAATTACACCTCATCTCACATTAGTGTTTCTTACATGAGAGGCTTGGGGTGGTTGAGCCCTAATTAAATCTGTATTTATGGGCTGATCTTTACTATCATGTCAATTTTACAAAGTAATATGAGCGTCAATCCAGTGCTGTTATCATTCAGAGAATTTGTCCTCAAATTGTCTGATAGTTGTGGTCTTCTGTTGTACAGTCAAAAACGGCTATCCTCTTATCTTGAAAACTACTTAGTCACCATAAAGGAGCCATTTTTAAAAGCTTGAATTTGCTTTGTAGAAAATACATATTATAGTATGGACTGCTGGACGGCTTGGATTACTTATTAATATCAGCCTGGTCCTGATGGTTTGAGGTTTTTATCAGTGCCTTTACAATCAGGTCGGATCATTTAGTTTTTCTCTGCGCTGCTTGTCGTAAAAGTAAAGTGGTTTTCACTTGGTTGCTGCTCATTCATTTACTTCTGGTGCCACAATATCAGCATTCACCCCCACATGAGGATTTGTCATTTTTCGAGTTTCGCCTCTCAGAGTGTCAGAGCGTACTCGAGGCACAGATGAGGAGCAGAACGCTATCATTTTTCCCAACGACTTTCGATCAGTCTGGCTGCTTTTCCATAGAAACAACACACCCTGCGGTTCAGTGCTGGGTCTGACCTGTGTAACGGCAGCAACAGGAAGTTTGCTTCCACTCAGCTCTGCAGCAGCAGCTGGTCCTCTAGTCCATCGATCCGATCAGCTGTGTTCAATCCAACTACAGACTGATCGAAAGGAAGTCTTGACTGTGACGACCCCACGACTCTTAACTTAACAAACTGCTGCTGAGGAATAAAATCAAACTGTGCTGTGTTCACAGAGTTTGATTAAAGAATACAAATGTTGTTTTCTGTTGCTGGTGATCTCCTGCCATTTTAAGACACTGGTTATTAGAAAAAAGACATAATTGCATGTTTTTCTGTATTTGCTTGTAGTGAAAAGAGAACTGGAGGCGGAGGCAGCTGCACTGGCTGAGAAACAAAAGGCAGATGAAGCAGAGGTGTGTACGACGGTGATTTGTTTGGTTAAATCAAGGTTTCTAAAGTGACACCATTAAGATAACGCTTGGCTCACAGTGATCAATATTTAGTCTGACGATATTGGTGAATGACAATTCTTTCCAGGAAGCCAAAGTGCCGTTGAAAGATCCCGCCATTCTCTCAGTGTCAGGTGTGTATTTCACCTGTCCGCTAACTGGAGCCACGTTAACTAAGAGTGAGAGGGAAGTACGCATTAAAGAGGCCATTTTGATGGTACGTCTGAAGATACTGTCACTTGTTGTTGTAGCTTGAATTAGAATGTGTTTGCAAAATAATAAACCTGACTATGACTGCATGTTTTTCCACTGAGTGTTGTTGATTAAACGTGCTCTGTTTGTCCTGTCAGCGGTTTGAGGAGGATGCAGTCGAGGCCTCAGTTATGATGATTCACACATTCAACAAAGACAGAGAAAAAGTGAAGGCTGCTGTGGACATCATAAGCAAGTGAGACGCTCGGCACAGTTGATCATCACACTGACTCTGACTTTAGCGTTTGAGCTGTTTTCTACAGCTGTCACAGAGTTAAATATCTCCAATGATGTTGTGTCAACAGGTATATTGAGAATATATGTAAGAATCCCACAGAGGAGAAATACAGGAAGATTAAACTCAGCAACAAGGTGTACCAGGTGAGTTTGAAACTGGGGTCTCTCAGTACTGTGGACCTCATCTCTCTGACTGTAATGAGGATTTTTTTCCCATTTCTTTTATATTATTCCCCCTTTGGCTTTATTTCAGGAGAAGGTTCGTTGTGTGGAGGGCAGTAGAGAGTTCCTGGAGGCCCTGGGCTTCACGAGCATTATGCTTCCTGTGGACGGTCAAGGTAGATTAATTAGTGTCTTATCAACATGTTGCCACAGTCAACAGATCATTTAAAAAGTCAATCTTTCATTAACGTTCAGTCAGTTGTCACATATTCCGATATGTGCTCGCCTTCCCTGGAGTTTAGAGGAGGAAGAAGAGTTCCTGGTGTTACTAGAGTACAGTCCTGATGCCCTGGAGTTGATGAAGGAGCGGAGGGATCGTCTCCAGAGAGGAGAGCCCGTCAGAGCTCAGCTGGACAGACAACCTCAAGCATTCAGATCCTCTCCCAACGCCCAACGCTTCGAGCTGCCGCCAGAATTCTACAACCTGACAGCGGAGGAGCTCAAGAAGGAGCAGCAGCAGAGGTACAGACTCAAAGTTATTGGAACTACATTTCTTAATTGACCTACTAGTACACACATTAAAGTAGAAAATTAATGCATTTTTCTTCTCTGACTGTGGCAGTGATGCCTGGACAGTAAAGATCAGTATCTGACTCTTTACATCTGCATTTTCTTTTTTGAGTAACACTGTTTGTCAGCGTGGGATTATGCAGCCCTGAGTCATTGTGCCTGATTAAATCTTGCACAAACATTACTGAAGTGTTGCAAAACAACCACAAACATGTCTGCACATCAAACTTGTTAGTTGTGGCTTGTGTTTCACCCTGTACCCTGTCACAGGCCAGATTTGGCCGTGGCCCATAAGTTGAGTATCACCGCAGTAGAGGTTGACCCGGCTGCGATGAACAGAATGACAGAAGACAAGAGCGGATGTAAATGTAACTGACCATGATTGTTAACACCCTCAAACACACTCATCAATAATGTATGATGATCCCTTCAGTCCTGCCCTGCCTCATGTGCTCCCTGGGACCTCTGGCCTTTAAAGACCAAACTGTGCACACCTCCCCAAAATGTGGTCCGGTGCTGTTTGTCCATCATCATGTTAGATAACCTGCATGTCTGTGTGTGTCTCTCTCTCAGGAGTGAGTTGGTGGAGAAGAACGCCATGCTGCGCACTAAAGCCATGAGGGAGAAAGAGGAGCAGAGGGAGAGAAGGAAATACAACTACACCCTGCTCAGGATCAGACTGCCTGATGGAAACCTGCTACAAGGTGAGAGCCTCTGTTTAAAGTCAACTCAGAACAGTACGAAACACAAAGTTCAGTGATTCAGTAAAGATGATGTGTGACTGCAGGGACCTTTTATGCGTGGGACCGGCTGCCTGTGCTGTTTGCGTTTGTACGGGAGTCCTTGGTGGACGGCTGGCAGCCCTTTGAGCTCATCGCTCCCGGAAATCAGAAACTAAAAGAGTCTGAGGAAGTCGCTCTTGCAGAGTGTAACTTGGTGAGTTGAAACCACAATCGTGTCATGAAACTGCCCCACATAAAATAATGCATCTAGATTACAGCTTCAGTCACCTGTTAACCAGTTAATGATGAGGCCGGTGACATGCTTCATTTTTCTGCTGTAAACAAATCTGACAAAAAGACTGTGAAACATGCCAGCACTTGTTAGTAGAACCAATACAGGGTTCCGGGCACCGGGTGACACACTCCTTCACATTACCATGAACACACACTGTAGTGTATTTTGAATCAGTCCCACATGCACACCGTCCTGATGCTGTGAATAAATACACACGAGAACACCAAGTGTGTATTCATCCACTGCTGAAAATAGTCCCAGCAGATGTTGTGTTTGCACCTGTTTGAGCAGTGTTTGCTACAAACGAGTGCACAGCTGTTTAGGAAACCACTTCATCTTTTTAAAAATGAAAGTGGATTTGAGGCCATTTTTTTTTTTTTAACAAATACATTTTTAGTAGCCAAACACGAGGTTGAGGCTCAGTGTCACAGGCAGGTGAGAGAGGTCGGAAAGTTTTGCAGACAGACCAACACATACAGTAGTTGGTTGGTTTTTTCATGGGATTGCTGACAATAAGAAAATAAAAAGAATTATGTATCGTACAGAAAGTAGATCTGACCAGGAAACCTGGTTAACTGGACATTTATGTGTTCAAATCTTCCTTAACATGAAACATGTCACTCTGCTATTTCCACAGCCAGTTTGTAACGTCCAGAGCAGAATTAAAAACCAGGAGGCCACAGTACAGAAACTCAAATGGATCATTTCTTATCAGTATTGATAGTTTCTGTGGTGAATATCATTTATGCTGCTGCTAGACAGTTCTGTAACCACAGTGGAAATATTGAAAGCACCTCTCTAGTGTAATTTTGCTTTATCAAAAAGGAAGGCTGCGGTCAAAACATGTTTATGAAAAGACACAAGACACACTTTTTTTAAACACTTTTCCTCAACCGCAACGGAAAATGTCTTTAAGTCAAGAAAACATACAAAGGAGAATCCATAAGGACTCAGGAAAAGAAAATGTGACTGCACTGAAGTGGGTCTGCTGTTGTGAAAAATTTTACCTCACTACAGCAGATGTGGTCAGACAGGCACTGCTGCTTGTTGTTTAGTGAGCCGGTAAGCGATGAAAACTATAAATACAAGCTTTCTGCGTGGCATTTAAATACAGCAGAGGAGCAGAGTGAGGCAAGGACAAAGGAAAGGGCAGCGAGTGACTCTGAATCATAAAACAAACCAAACACATCCGACTGCTTCCAAATCTCCTCTGACTCACTGCAGCTGAAAGCAGCTGACAGAAGTTAAAATTAAAACCTGTGCGGCTGCGCTTATCTGACACGTCAAACTTTACATTAATCTTACCTGCAGCTAAGATACTAACGGGTCATTTCACTCAGGTAGGAACCTTCTGAAGCAAAAAAAACCCTCCTCCTTCGTATAATATTTTACATTGACTAGTTTTGGCTCTGCGAACTTGTGTCACACATTTGATTTGAAACAACCAGTGTAGCATCAATGATAGAAATAAATGTGAGTCTTGCTGTCCTAATTCAAACCAACCTGTCATCCTTACACAAACAACCCGTCCCTGTATGTTTTTAGGTCCCTGCAGCTCTGCTCACATTTGCCTGGGACGCAGCTGTGCAGGCTGATATCGCAGCTGCAGGTGGAAAGAGCGCCACCCTCCTCAAACCGGAGCTGCTGGAAACCATTCGGACCCTGAGCTGAGCAGACGGACCGCCCCTGAACTCTCCCTGCTACCTCCCCCCTCTGGCACTGCGGGGGTGGGATTGCCCCTTTCAAATGGCTAGTGATAAGTTTATTTTTACAAATGCTAACTTCAGTCAGTAGCAGTGTTAGACCAGGGGGCAACTTCACCCTAATGCGCTTGTTTTGCTGAGCATACCCTTCTCTCTCCATGTGGGGGTGACGTCCCCTCACAGACCGTCTCAGCAGCACATTTTACTGAAGGAAACACTACTAACAGATGTAAGGAGGAAGCAAGGACAGGTGGTCTTTTTGTTGCATCCTGAATTTACATGCTGTCACAAACAGACTGTGGCAGCAGCCGTCTGTGCTCTATCTATCCAGCAGTCAGCCAGCCAGGTATTCTTCATGTGGCATGTTGAGAGACCTTGTTTTAACTGTGTCGACACTTCGTCCTCTTGTTTGAAGTAAACAGTAAACATCTTGCTTACACAACAGTTGGATTAGCAGTGCGTCTGTACAGTCATGTAGAGGGAGATCAGGAGTAGAGGAGCCAAGTACCTCTGGTCAGATACTGTTGACTTGTGTTGGTGTGTCGGCACCGAGCTGCTGGGTGTCTGTGCACTTGCTTTGACTTGAAATGCTATCAGTTTTGACTTATAAGTCTTTTGTCTGTCAGCTGATGGTTGTCCAGTCTGATTTGATGTGATGTGAGTCTGGCTTGCCCGTTTGTCCTCTGCTCTGCAGTGGTGTTGCACTCCTTGTTGTACAGCTGACTTCTAATTAAAACTTTAAATGTGATTTATCTGTACGTTTATGAGCACAAGCCCAAATCATAAATAAAACACAGGTTCAGTGTGACGGATTTAGGAGGATTTAGTGGTGAGGATTGAAGATTGCATCCAGCTGAAACTCTTATCGGTTAGAATTCCTGTTCAAGAGGTTTTAACCAGGAGCTGAATTATCCACAGAGGTCTCCTCAAATGGACCAGGTGATTTAAACTGGTAAAAATGCTGAAAAAAGCAGTGTCACGTTAACTTAAGATCCAGTCGTTCAGAGAATTTTTACCGGGAGCCGAATTCTCTGCAGTCTCCTCCTCTTTAAAAACAGAGGGAACCGATTATTTAACCTGGTAAAAACAGAGTAAAGCAGTTTCACCTTAAAAATCAGTTTCTTTAACACTACTTGGCACGGCAGGGCTGGAGCCAACTACTGCTAACATTTGCTGAGCTTATTTCTGCGATAAGACCCAGATGTCTGATGACTAAAATCCTTCATCTGGTTAAAACACATAGTTCAAAATGACAAAAATCTAAAATGTGTATTGAAAAACGTGCCCTAAAAAGTCAATTCATGGCAGCGTCTTACAGAAAACCACAACCCTGACGCATGCACAATATGATGCCAAATGACATGGACTGCGTGACTGCAATTTGTTTGGGTTTGAAAATTGTTAAAAACATTTGGGACAATGTAAAAACACAACTCGACAAACTATATAACATTTGTCTCGTGTTAAAAACACTGAATAAAACAGTTTCACGTTACAAATCAGTGCTCTCTGATGTTGTTCGGCTTGTCGCAAACGGGCCGCTAGCCACTTGATGACCTTTTTGCTCTGATAACTTCAGATCCAGATGTTCAGGAGGTTTTTACCAGGAGCTGAATCATCTCCAGAGGTCTCTTCCTCTTCAGAACAAATGGACATGTTGATTTAAACCAGTAAAAACAAAACAAAAATCAGCTTTTTACGATGTGGTTTGCCTCATCACGGAACTGCTGCAAACTACAGTGGTCGACAAGAAAACACAAATGTCTCTATCTAGAGTCAGTGTTTGGTTTGTCCTTTCTGGGCTACTGTAGAGACATGGCAGCGCAACATGATGCTCCCTATGTTGATATAAACAGCTCATTCTAAATTTACAAAACCACAATTCTCATTTTCAGCTGATTCTACATCAAAGAAAACAGACTTATTATATCGTATTCCATTTTGCCTGTATATCCCTCTACGTCCTTCACACTGAACCTTTAAATTAAGGTCATACACTCATGTGGTCCCCAAAATATTCAGTTTATAAGTGTTAGCCATGTGCTGACAGTGTGATGGTGATTCTAATACCAAAATATTTTCTTGTATTTCAACTTTTAAGCACTTTTCGGGACTGTTTAAACTTTATAAAACACTAAAGAGCGTCCTAGATGTAAAATGACAGATGTGGATCACGTGACTGTGTCCACAGTACTCTAGTGATGAATGGTTTAACGCAGACGCTCGCTGCAGAAGCTTCATGTAACCAACTCGCTCCTCTGGCATGCAGGCAGGCATGATTTACATTTCTGTTGTTAAACCTGGCAGCATGGACTCGTGTTGTCTCGATGATGGTGGTTTTTATTCATCTTTGAGTACTTGTTTGTATCAAACACATTTCCTTGAGGTAAAAAAGGGTCTTTATTTCAAACACAATGGGAATAAGTAACAGTGTGATCCATAGCGCCTCCCAGCACACTGAGTGCAATGAGAAATCAAAGCTGTGTTTTAATTTACCCTAAAATTGTGTTAACTGTTTGAGATCCAGCCTTTCCCTTAAAACGTGTCATTAGGTATGATAAATTAATTTTGGTAGTGGTTTTGTTGTGCATGAATCTATACCAGGTAAATCTGTCAGAACCAAGTATAGTTTCTCCTGTTAGTGGTCGGTTAAGATGACAACAACCTACCTCCCATCGCTCATGTCTGATACATCCCAAGTGAGTCGTACAGAAACATGTGACTGAAACAGATCTTAAAGGGGCGGTTTGGGTTTTTTAAGCAGGTTTGTATAAGGTACATATCCACAGTCAGAGTGTTACGTACAGCAGCTGGTGGTTGGCACACCTCCATTTTGGAGAAGCAGGCAGGAGTACCGCCACTGAAGCTAAGCAATGTGCTGCTGTGAACAGGGGCAGCAGCAAGACTTGTTTTAGCCGTCAGAAGAATTCTATATTGGTTGATATGTGAGCTATATTTAAAATATTGTCTCTGCTTTACCTTGCTGTCAGAGAGCTGTTTCCACCGGAGAACTGAAGCTCTTATCTGTGCGCCAGTCATTTTACCTCACAGATCACGGGAGCTGCTGCTGTAGCGCTGCCTCGGTCAGTTTGCTTGTGTTCCTGTGTGATTTTGGTGTTAGGGTTGGTTTGGATTCATTAGAGGTCGTACACATGGCGCGTTTTTTACCGCCTGGAAAACGCAAGGTCGGACGCTGAGTGCTACTTTTGTGCCTTTTTGGGCCACGATCAAGAGGTGAAGCTGTTGAAATCCTGAGTGCAGAGCTGATTGTCTTCCAGAAGCTGTTTATAAGTGTGTAGGCCTATCGTCTGTGGGACAGATGTGACGCTCTGAGTAGCCCTGCACTAAAACTGATCACAGACTGATATTTACGGAAGAAGGGAAAGATATCTGTTGGCTGTGATTGGTTGTTCCTGGTCACATGATGTGCAGTGTGCGCTGCTGTGTTCCAAAAGTAGAACTTATCTACTATTTGTCTTAGAGCGCAGCTGTCGCACCCTAAAAAATGGGCGCTCAGGAACGGCGTTTGAGCACATCTGCCACGTGTCTGCATTGAAAACAATGAATTTGAGAATGCAAAAAATTGGGCATGTGTACGGCCTCTTAAAGGGATAGTGCACCCAAAAATGAAAATTCAGCCATTATCTACTCACCCATATGCCGAGGGAGGCTCAGGTGAAGTTTTAGAGTCCTCACATCACTTGCAGAGATCCAAGGGGAGAGGAGGTAGCAACACAACTCCACCTAATGGAGGCTGACGGCGCCCCAGATTCAAAAGTCCAAAAACAAATAATTGAAACCACAAAATATCTCCATACTGCTCGTCCGTAGTGATCCAAGTGTCCTGAAGCCCCGACGTAAAAAGTTGTTTGGAAAAACGTCATTTGAACTCTGTTTTTTGAACTCATTGTAGCCTGTAGCTCTGACTGCCTCTCTGTACACTGCACTCACACTCAATGCGAAAGCACGTGAACACACATGAAGGCGGTGTCCATGTCTCACGGTCTCACGTAAGCACGCACAAGTGAGCTCGGTGCACAGAGAGGCAGTCAGAGCTACAGGCTACAATGAGGCTAAAAACAGAGTTCAAATGACGTTTTTCCAAACAACTTTTTATGTCGGGGCTTCAGGACACTTGGATCACTACGGACGAGCAGTATGGAGATATTTTGTGGTTTCAATTATCTGTTTTTGGACGTTTGAATCTGGGGCACAGTCAGCCTCCATTAGGTGGAGTTGTGTTGCTACCTCCTCTCCCCTTGGATCTCTGCAAGAGATGAGAGGACTCTAAAACTTCACCTGAGCCTCCCTCGGCATATGGGTGAGTAGATAATGGCTGAATTTTCATTTTTGGGTGCACTATCCCTTTAAAGTCATACTATAAAATGAACAAACTGCTTGAGGTAGCAGCAGCGGAGCAACACCCATGTTCTGCAAGGTAAAATTACTCGGGTTAAAAAGGAGACAACGCTTTATAATGTGGCTCTCCGATCGATCTCAGCATTACGATCCAGGGAAAAACTAGCCCCAGTATTTATGCAATCTGCCTGCGACAAATGTAATGTGAGGCGGACATCAGGTCAGGGCAAAAATAAAAATAAAAAAGTGATGAGTGCAGAGCCAAGTCCAAAATGGTATTGAAGTATTCCTCTACATTGTAGGAAGCTGAAGTGAATCCAGGTCATGGTGATAGAAAGTGCGGTATCGTAGGCAGCTGGAATTGCTTGTGTTTCTTGAAGACGTTTCGCCTCTCATCCAAGAAGCTTCTTTACGTCAACGTCTTCAAGAAACTCAAGCAAGTCCAGCTACCTAGGATACCGCACTTAAGAAAATGAAAATGGGTTCGTGAATCTCACTGGTGACCTGTTATGAAGTCGAAGCGTCATTTTTTTGTTGAAGGTTGTCAAGGTCGCAGCCCTGATTACAGGTAAGGGTAAAGCAGTGTAAATATTCTTAAAATAGAGCACATTTAAACAGATTCTTTTTAAGTAGCTGAAATGTTTTGCTGCTGCCTCCGTCTACAGCTGTACACTTCTGTGGTTGTGCTTCTGCCTGCTCCTCCAAAACTGGACGTGTGCTGACAGACATGTATTGTAAGAAAAAACTATGGATAACTACCTCATACAGCCCCACTTAAAAGAAATCTAAACTATCCCTTATAACAGTAGGAATAATTATCACCACTTTAAACCAGCATTATTATTATTAGTTACACACCAAAACCTCATCTCAACTGTAAAATCTGATCAAGTCGCAGCATTTGTGAGGCCAAGTCGGCCATAAGCAGCATCTCTGTCCAGCACTGGCCCCACAGGTATTACATGAAGGGTGTAAATGTTTCATCAGCATTGTAAGCTTATTAAAATGGTTAGTGAGCAGTTGTGTTCTGTTGCTTTTTAACCTGCCTGTAATCAAGATGGCTTGCATTGCATCATTTCTTTTGTTTAATAAACAGAATTATGAGGCGAGTCGGTGTTTGATCTGTGGAAAGTGAAGCTCCTGTGCAAACACTAACACACCACATACTGTACAGAGACATATACAAGAAGCATCACAGTGCTGACGCTACCGAAAAGCTTCAGCTGAGAAATGTTTCTGTTGGACGTGAAGTATTTAAAGAAACACACAGGACCTTTATTAACAGTTGAGGCTCAGTGCATGTTTGTGAACATGTTGTAATATTTAACTGGTGAATGGTTCTTGATGCTTCACCTCAGACATTAACCAAACACAAATTACCAGGTCAGA